TTTCCACTATAGTATGAAAGTAAGCATACAGTGATTTGGGAAGTACCTAACTAAAATTAGAAAGTTATGTTAACATTATTTGATCGTGTATTTTAAACTGCAGATTTATTTGCAAAGTGTGTACAATGTATCTTGGAAAAGCAGATGTTCCCTGTAATGGATAAAGCCTATTTCAAGTTTCACACAATATGGAAAGGTAATTATTATAGCATAAGTGTAAACCAGTGGCTTTTTTAGAAACACTGGATAAACTTATTAAAGAATAAAACAACACCACTGCAAGCTTAAATATGGTCAGCAGTCATAGAAAGTATACATAGACAGCTGTGGCCTAAAAAAAACCTGTAGAACTGAAAATAATTATGCAAATTCAATTTCCATTACCTGATATGCAGGGGATTTTGTGAAAGAAATAGTCCAAAATTTGCTAAGCCCGAAAATAACCTCATCCGATCGTCCCTTCCACAGAGAGAAAATGGGCTCTCACCTCCTGGTGGAGACTTCAAGAAACCCAGAATGCCCCAAGGTGAGCTTTAGAAGATGGTCTGGCTCATTCTTACCTTTTGTTCTGTTCTGTTCACTGACCAGTGAGCCTTCACCTGATTTTGTTTACTGGGATATTACAAAGAAAGCTCCTTTCTCTATCTCTGTCCTGCATATCACTGCATGACAAGTGGAAGGAAAAATACACTCTAAAGTCATATAAGACAGTGTGGATAACGATTTCACATAGGATTTCATATGTCAGCAGATTCCTTCCAAAACAGAGATGATTCCAAATTGATCTGTCAGAATGTCAGTCTAGGTATTTTCCTTCATTTTAGATCTGTTTGGCTGTGAAATGCCATATGACGTTGTTGTTTGTCATGTCCTTCAACTATAGGTGGCAGCGGTGAGCACCATTGTGAACCGGGGCACTCCCCTAAAGGCCTATGTGTTCAGGAACTACAACCTGCTGCCCGGGGTGCGCTCTCACTACCTGGGGGGCTGCCAGCACCAGCTGTGGCAGGCTATCCGTGCTACGTCAGCAGCCCCTGGGTATTTCCAGGAGTTCACCTTGGGAAATGATCTCCACCAGGTCAGTCCCACTCACAACTGTAAAAGGGTAGTGGAAAGGACGCCACTGGTCACGATGAACTTGATGGTTAAATCATACTAGTTATCTTTGTACTATCTAACTGTTGGTTACAGATGAGGGAAAGTGATAGGGCTCATGGCAGTGGATTTAAATTTTACAGTTAGATTTTAAGCCTTTAGCTGATGCTTTTATCCATGATTATGGTCATGAGCACAACTGTTACATAAGCTTAAATTCCTAGATAACCATTACAGACAAAGAGAACATGTGTCAGAGTTACAGAACATGATAAATATTGAATGTTATAGGCTTTTATCTTCGGCAGCCCTCAGTAGTGATGGGTGATAGCAATGCGACATCTGCACTAGTCAAATTTTAGCTTTTAACTCAGTTGAACCATTTTATGTATGCCGTAGCTTAATTTTTCCCAAATGTATTTTTAATTATCCTACAAAGCTGATCTCGCACTATAATTCTTTCTGTCCTATACAACTGTAATACTGTAAAACTATTTGGCTGTAATGCACAAGTAAGTCAGTGTACAAAGCTTGAAGACCTTTGGTTGTCCAGTGAAATATTAATCTTAGTCCATTGTTTCTATGAAGGCTTATATATTGTAGTTGTGCTTTCTCTCAACCTGCTTTGCAATCACGTCATATATTTACACAACTGGTGACAATTTGAATGCAGTGCCACAGTAATACAGGGCTTGTTGTTGGGGCGCTGGCTTTAAATGCCCTGTATAGTCAGTGTTGATGGCGGAGTTTTTGAAGGATCTCTCTAGACAGCAAGCTAGAGGGAGGAACTCCATTTCTGTCCTGTCAGTGTTTATTTCCAGTCAGTTACATTTTGACAGGAGAATGAGGAGTAGATTCGCAATGAGACACTTAAATCCCACTTCTCTAAAAAGGCATGCATTAGCCATCAGTAACATAACACACCGCCAGTCCACTCTACCATTTTACTGATCAATACTGTTTGCCTTTACCTTTTCAATAAGGGCTTAGTCCATAGAGAGCACAGAGTAAACAAGAAACCGCATGAGTAGAGGCATAGTAGAATCTTGTGTAAAACAAGTGTACATTTTATTTTGTTCAAAACAGAAGTTTAAAAGTGCTTTAGAAAGAGAGGTAAAAAGCACACAGGAAAAATTAGATGCAAGTCATTATGTTCCACTTCTGCTTGAGTATTCAGCTGATGTAGCCTAGTTTGACCTGCCACATCCAGATGTCAACATCTCCTTGAATTGGCGTTCAAACACAGATGTGTTGTAAAGACTGACGAACTTAACGTAGACATATGAGCATGTGTTTGCATCAAAGGCAATATTCCGTGTTGGCGTGCTCCCACATTCTTAATTGGAAGCTGTGTTAGTTGTGTAGGTGAATGGGAATGTTCAGGGGAGAAAATGAAAGAGACTGGTTGATGAAAACCCACCTGTGGTGAGAGATTTCCCCAGCTTACCGTCTAGCAGATCTCACCCTACTCTGAGATGCATAAATTAGCCCAATGCAGCACTTCCTACATCACACACAAGTGTGACTGCTACGTCTGCCTCGTTAGAATGAAAAGACAGACAATCTAATTATGGAACTGCTATTCCATCCGCCAGCAGGAAACCTCATACTGTGAGAGGATGAGACACCATCAGTAGTTTCACATATTTAACACATTTGATATGGAGTTAGTTACATTTGTATTTTCATTTCATTTCTATCTTCCAAGTGAAAAACTGAATGATGTTTTTCTCAGTCTAATAATTCTTTAAAGAATATTTTAAGGAGGTGCTTTGCCTGAATGGCAATTGCAATGGGATTTTAGGGCTTTCACTTTTATTCCAGTTTCTATCCCTTTTTTTTGGAACATTTTTTACCTGTGATCACCACGACTGAAGATAATATACTAGCATGTGTTTGCTTTTCAAAAGGACATAGAGTTTTGAACATCAGAACATTAATATTATGCTATAAACGTCTACATATTGAAATTAAGTTCAGTTCGCTTTTTCATATGAATGCATTCATATGAATTACAAAAAGAGTTGAAAGGAGGCAGGAGGGGGCACCTTACCACCAATGGTAATCAGAGTTTGTCCTCCTCATTGATAGCTATTTTTTTTGACTGTAATCCTTCCTCTGAACGCCGAGTTCCTTTTTTACATGGAGCATTAGAAACTTTTTTTTTTTTTTTTTAGAGCAATGGTGGATCGTTGAGCTCTCTACATGGCTCTAGGTTGCCCCTGGTAAACCAATCATTGCTGGTTGGCATAAAACACATCACTCTGTATCTGTGTGCCAGCACGACAATGTCGCCACACTGACACCAGCTTTAAAAAAAAAAAGTTGTATACTGAGAATACCCAGAGATTGGTGCAATAGGCTTAATCAGCATTGTGTGACATTTGGCAAGGACAAACCATTTATAAAGAGATGCTGGTATCAAAGTAATGAGTTTGACTCAGTGATAAAGCAAATGCTAATTTGCTCAAAGGAATTTAAACCAGATAAATCTCAATTTTTTTTTTTTTTTTTACAGTTTGGACGATGTAAGCTAGTATAACGTCAAAGAACAGTATTTATAATAAGTTCCTCCTAAAATATATTTTTGCCCAGCTTTCAGCCAGTGTACTTTCTATTTGAACAGGGCCAGCTTCAAAATGCCACCCAGCCTGATGGCTTTGTTTACTGGCTGCTTAAGCTACTGAAACCAGTCGTGAGGATAACATGCTGTCTGTGTGATGTCAGGATTCCATAGAGAGAAAGTCATCTCGCTTTTTTCCACAAACGCCCACAGAGTTTTTCACTTAATTCAAGTCCCAAACAATCACCCTTTTGTACGGTGAGCGCAGGAGAGTTGCCATGCCATGTGCTGAACGAATGCCGGAATTCTCAAGCAGTGTTTCAAGAAAGTTGTTAATTGTTACTTGATGTTTCTGTGATTCTGCAGACTGGAATGAAAATCTGACGGAGCCAGATTCAGACTGGTAACACAGGGGAAATTGTAACTTGGAGCAAGACCTTTGAAGCACAGCAACCGTGGTTTTATCAAAGCCTCACACTTGCTACCATAGCCATGAAGAGGGTGCCTTAGTGAGGGGCAACAAGGGGAAAAGAGCGGAGAAAAACAGAGGAGATGAAAGAAGAGAGGTTACACATAAAAGCGCTCTCAGTTATCTCAGCGCTAAAGAACACAAGTAGAAGTCTTCAGATGTTTTACAATGGATGCCAGGGCATGAGTGGAATGGCGAGGAGGACCCATTTTTTTCCGCCTAGTTGTCGTGGTGTCTCCCGAGGCAATGGGGAGGAATGGGAGCATGTTTTGTGCCCACCTCTGCCAGCATTTGATAGGAGGCATGGAATCAGTGGGCCACCCCCCCCAGTGCAGGCTATTAAGAGCCCCAACATGGCACAACACTCAACAGAAAGACATCACACAGTCTCAAACGGAGTAGGTCACATCATCACTACTAAATCACATAAATAAGCCAAAGAAGTCATTAAATGTGGCAGCATTGACTAAAGAACTCAAGACAGTTTGATTCTGTGTGAGAAAAGTGGAGGAAGAGGCATAGGGTCTCACATAATTATGTGCCATTCCAAAAGTGCAGTTCAAGAAATCATAACCTTTTGGATCACCTTTTTCGCTTCTCTTTTTTTTTCCCTTGTAAAGGCCACTGGAGGTGACGTTAATGGTCATAAAGTACATGCTCAGCACCGCAGTGCTTCTCAGACAAGGCAGAGAGGAGGAGAGATGGAGGATTCAGGGAGGCGACAGTATAAATCTGAGCTTTTAGCCACTTCCTCTCCTCCCGTGTTAAGCCTTGATAACTCGGCCTGGAGGCTGTTGGAGGATAGAGCTCAGACTAGTGAGCACTGCTGCAGACAGCTTCCTGCTCCCAGACAGACTCGGGATCATTGTCTCTTGAGTATAAATGCGCACACATGGATTCTCTCATAGTCACTTTACCTCTGTTTCATCCACTTACTACTCTTTTTGTTCTGTTATATACAGTGAGGAAAATAAGTATTTGAACACCCTGCTATTTTGCAAGTTCTCCACTTAGAAATCATGGAGGGGTCTGAAATTGTCATGTAGGTGCATGTCCACTGTGAGAGACATAATCTAAAAAAAAAATCCAGAAATCACAATGTATGATTTTTTAACTATTTTTTGTATGATAGAGCTGCAAATAAGTATTTGAACACCTGTCTATCAGCTAGAATTCTGACTCTCAAAGACCTGTTAGTCTGCCTTCAAAATGTCCACCTCCACTCCATTTATTATCCTAAATTAGATGCACCTGTTTGAGGTCGTTAGCTGCATAAAGACACCTGTCCACCCCATACAATCAGTAAGAATCCAACTACTAACATGGCCAAGACCAAAGAGCTGTCCAAAGACACTAGAGACAAAATTGTACACCTCCACAAGGCTGGAAAGGGCTACGGGGAAATTGCCAAGCAGCTTGGTGAAAAAAGGTCCACTGTTGGAGCAATCATTAGAAAATGGAAGAAGCTAAACATGACTGTCAATCTCCCTCGTACTGGGGCTCCATGCAAGATCTCACCTCGTGGGGTCTCAATGATCCTAAGAAAGGTGAGAAATCAGCCCAGAACTACACGGGAGGAGCTGGTCAATGACCTGAAAAGAGCTGGGACCACCGTTTCCAAGGTTACTGTTGGTAATACACTAAGACGTCATGGTTTGAAATCACGCATGGCACGGAAGGTTCCCCTGCTTAAACCAGCACATGTCAAGGCCCGTCTTCAGTTTGCCAATGACCATTTGGATGATCCAGAGGAGTCGTGGGAGAAAGTCATGTGGTCAGATGAGACCAAAATAGAACTTTTTGGTCATAATTCCACTAACCGTGTTTGGAGGAAGAAGAATGATGAGTACCATCCCAAGAACACATCCCTACTGTGAAGCATGGGGGTGGTAGCATCATGCTTTGGGGGTGTTTTTCTGCACATGGGACAGGGCGACTGCACTGTATTAAGGAGAGGATGACCGGGGCCATGTATTGCGATTTTGGGGAACAACCTCCTTCCCTAAGTTAGAGCATTGAAGATGGGTCGAGGCTGGGTCTTCCAACATGACAATGACCCGAAGCACACAGCAGGATAACCAAGGAGTGGCTCTGTAAGAAGCATATCAGGTTCTGGCGTGGCCTAGCCAGTCTCCAGACCTAAACCCAATAGAGAATCTTTGGAGGGAGCTCAAACTCCGTGTTTCTCAGCGACAGCCCAGAAACCTGACTGATCTAGAGAAGATCTGTGTGGAGGAGTGGGCCAAAATCCCTCCTGCAGTGTGTGCAAACCTGGTGAAAAACTACAGGAAACGTTTGACCTCAACAAAGGCTACTGTACCAAATGTTAACATTGATTTTCTCAGGTGTTCAAATACTTATTTGCAGCTGTGTAAAAAAAAAAAATCATACATTGTGATTTCTGGATTTTTTTTTTTAGATTATGTCTCTCACAGTGGACATGCACCTACGATGACAATTTCAGACCCCTCCATGATTTCTAAGTGGGAGAACTTGCAAAATAGCAGGGTGTTCAAATACTTATTTTCCTCACTGTACATACTGTATGTTTTCACTCATGCATAAACACTTGATTGCACTGGCACACTTGTTTTGGGATTAGGCAAGTCCACTGATTATGTTGACTGACTGCTGTGTGAAAGCCTACCCAAATCTTCCTCAGTCTCTAACATCCTTCCTTTCTCACAGTGCACCACACTTTGCAGGCGTCTCACTGCAGTGGCTCCAGATGAGATTTCTTAAAATAAATCACTGCTTCACATTGTATTGATATGCAAGTGTGTGTTCAGGCACCTCTCCAGTGTACAGCAGCAAAATTAGCTTTAAATTGCCCAGTGTGTGACTTGTTATGATGGACAGAAACATTATGCTTTCTAATATGAAGTTGTCAAATACATAAAGCCTAGAGGGAATCTGAGTAAATATGAGGTTCTGTACCCATTTATATCACTGCATATCGTCACAGTTTAATCTGGATGGCTCCAGCTGGCAGGGATGATTCATTGTTTCAATACTGGTTGTACATGTGTGGCCATGTATTCACTGAATATGTGGGAAAAGGTAACTGTAAACAGTAGATCACAATTTATTTGCCTGCCTGCGGAAAAGTTGGCACTCATACAGATGCGTCCCTCCTTTATCGACAGCCTGGGAAGATGACTTGATGACTGAATGTGACCTTTGGGGCCTATAAAGCAAAAAGGCAAAGAGGAGAACTGGTCGGCGTAATTGCATAATATGGCATGAAGACCTCTGACTTGACCTGACCGCCGCTTAAGAGTGGCAGTCACCAAACCGTTGTCATTCCCATCCTCATTGATGGACAATGGTGGCCTTTATGTGGATTGGATGCCATTTGGGCAATTCATTTTACTTTTTTTATTTATTTTTCTGATTGCATAGAGAGTGACTGAGAAAGCTTGCTTTCATGTGCAAACTGTGTTGATTTAGAAGTATTGAGAGTACAGGAGAGTTTTTACAGCAGCCTAATTATCTACTTTATCAATTGAATGACCATTTCCGGAAAACAGCCTGGTTATTGTGACAGGCACAATCAGATGTCCATGGCTTATGTAATGCTTCCCTAATTAATCATTTGAGAGAAAGGAGCCTCATAATAAATCATGACAGAGCTCAGTGCCCCTCAGTCAAGCCCTGTCAAAGAAGCCAAAGATGAAATTGTAATGACTACAGCTGCTCACTGGGACTATGATGTACATGCAATACCACATGTATGTCAAAGTCTCACCTCATTTAGATTTAAGCAGGCGCTCTGTTCGTCTCTGTGTTGTGGCTGCTAATAATGACCCTTGCACAAGACAGCATTGAAGCTTCCCCATGAGTTAGAGAAGCAGAGAAGAGATACAGAGGCATACAGGCAGGATGAACAGAATGAAGTTTGCTGTCCAAACTACTAGGAGCTGACGTACACTGGGGCGTGAAATGACTTTTACTGATCCTGACGATAGCACCTCTTTCCTATTCAAATCAGCTCTCCCCCTCTAAGACAGCCTAAACTGGCACAGTGAAGATAAGCCCCCAAAAGTTAATGACAGTGCAGATATTTCAAACACCAGTGCAAGGGAGCTATAAATGGTGCATGTCTTAATTTTGTTTATTCATCACAGCTAATATCATCTCAATAGTTTTATTTCACATTCTGTAAGAGCGCTTTCTTTTTAAAGCCGTATTTTGGTTTAATTGGCCATCTGAAGAAGGGAAACATGTTCCCGTAGGTGTAGGAGCCCTAATTAGTTGAAAACTGGCTTCATTCGAGCTGCAGGAAAATGAGGAGCTGATTTGTGAATCAGCCATTAGACCCTGAAGGGCAAAGTATCAGCAAACAGGCTGTACCGGAATCAAGGCATGCTGTTAAAGGAAAGCATTAAGCCTTTCAGGAAGGTGGAATTCAAACACGCCATTCCAAAATTCAGTTTCCATTCAGACTCTGGGGTTAAACTTCCGTCAGATGGTCTCGGCTGACAGGGGTGTACCCTTTGAGGACATTCATCAGTTGCCACACGGCACATTTATTCACTGCGAGCAGCATTACAGCTCTTAATCCTCATAAATGGAAATGACCTTTGCCTTGCATCTTGCTGCATGTTTGATAGACAGCTTGAGTTTGCCTATTTTGCATGCAAAGCTCATTTGCTGTTTGTCCTAAGTAGATCATTGTTTCTAACTTAACTCTTCATCCAAATAAACCCTGGCTTCAAGACATCCTTGTGTGAAAACGTGGCAGTAGTCTAAGTATGAATATCTCAGTGATAAGTGGCTTTATAGAGCCCCGGCTGTACCACTGCAGATTGAGCATGTTCTCAGTGTGCCTGGTACCATCTTTCTCAAGGAAATGGCTCCAAAGGCATGCAACCTCTGCCATAAATTGCAATTGTAAGTTGCTTTGAATAAAAGTGTCAGCTAAGTGAAAAAATGTAATGAAATGTGTTTGTT